CAATTGAAACTTTAGTGTATGATTTGCCAGCGTGGACCTAACCACTCCTGAAGGATTCTATCCGTCCCCCAGCTTAATCTAGTTTGACATATCTGGCCTTTGCTAACCGTGTAACAGTGTTGGGAATTTACAAGTTTAGTCAGCGGCACTTTGAACAATACGCGGCAGCCGCTCTCTCCCGTTCTCGAGGACGGATCCGACAGTCGCGAAGGCTCGAAAGAAACTGCTCGCTCTAGAGCGAGACGGAGATCCCAACCCGCAGAAGACATCCACGAACTCCGGGTCAGGTGAGGTTCAGCGTGTAGCCTTGTCGGGTATTCACGAGTCTATTTAGCGGCCCAATGAACGCTCTACGTAGCAGCCGCTCTGACATATAAAGTCTCGCGCATCCCCCCCCCCCCCCCTTACCCACGGGGGTGTTCACGCTTACGATACGGACTTTTATAACTCCGGGTCAGGTGAGGTTCAGCGTTTGGCATTTTCGGATACTCACGAGTTCAGTCGGCGGCTCTATCGATGCCCTACGCAACAGCCGCTTGAGCATTGTACGTCTTGCATATCCCCCCCTTTCCCAAGGGATATTCACGACTACGATAGGGACTTTTAATGATTGGTACTCGTATCCAGTATCCATCGCGATCCTGTGCGTATCGTCCGTAAAGTCAATCTCCACCACTACTCATGAAGGCCTGTGAGTGAAAAAAAAACGGATAGAGAAACGGGATGGCTACTACGCGGCTGATGTCTTTCCGATCCAAGGGTAAGTACTCCCGTTCCATACAGGTCGGATCCCCCCGTTTTCACACTCGGGAGGCACTCTCCTTGTGAAAGTGTCAGTCTAATATAAGGACAGGGTTCTGATTGGTAAAGGGGTCGGGATCCCGAAAAATATATGGGCGGACATCTCATCCTGGCGAGGAAGTCATCTTTCCTCCAGGGATGAAAGGGGACTCCAAATGTACCACGCGAGACGTTTTACTCGTCCCTGCGGAAAAGTCCGTATTGGTTGCATGAACCTTTGCTCCTTCAGAAAAGATATAGATATCTATATCGGTGAAATGAGAAACCAGTAAATTTATTTTTAAAGACAATGGTTAAGGAGTTGGGTATGAACTGAGGATGGGTCCCCTGGCATGCTGCTTCGAGTCCTTGAGAATAACACCCTTGTCCCACGGGCATATTTATGGCCCTATCGAAGGGAGTCCAAGTCATGGATGGCTTCCGGGCCTATTGCATGATGAAGATGTAGGTGACGGGGTCAAGGGATGGACCCTGTACGGTCAATACACGTCATTTATATGATTTCCTATGAGGAAACAAATACTTATAGTATTTAATACGCTAATGTATGTTTGTAAGCCGTGTTGGGACGGTATGGTAATAAATATCATACCATCCCTTACGAAAATGTCCAATAGGAAATCTCTAGCAATGCAAAGGAATCCCATAGGTTACCTATAGGACCAATGGGGTTCCTATAGGAAGCTTGCATTCCTATATGGAGTCCGTAAGATTCCTATAGGAATCCAAATGGGATTTCCGGAACAAAAATCTTCAACAACGTTGATGTTTTCTCTTTCCGAATATTCCTCATATTTAGCTGTCTTTAGTTTCGCAATGAAATAAAAATGCGTTCCGGTTTAAGCACATCTCTTCTGTGATATGGCGCTGAATCTCAATTCACAGTTCTACCATTAAAATGTTTCAAGCCAGACTCATGACTGAAGGGAACTGAGTCCAGTATCTCTTTTCTTTTCAAGGAAAGACTTTAGAGAACGCGGGTGAAGAATAATCGAATGGGAGATCTTGAACCAGAGATTTAAAAAATCCCCACTGGGTGCCTATCAAATGTACCATACCACGCCATTCCCCCTTGCTCTTTAACATAACTTCAAACTAAATTTACTTTACAAACCCAATGCCACGAAGGTTCTTAAGTCACAACTTGCCCATGGTCGTATCACTCTTAGGTTTAAAAAATCTGGAAGGGGAGGGGAAAAAGACACCCTTAGCTCACCATCTGGAAAAGTCACAGGACATTTATCACCCCCCCCCCCCCCAGGTTCCTATGCTCTTGGTACCTATAAGATTCTTATAGGAATGTACTGGTATCAATTAGGCATACGATGGGATCTATTAGGTTCCTAAGAGAATCTCATAAGCCCATGATTGACAGCACGTCTGCTAGAACATTGGGGGATACAACAATTATTCATGTAAAAGAGCTTCTTTAATCCCCCCCTCCTCCACCCCATATTTGTATCCGTCACTGTGTTTGGGGGAAGAGAAAGGACCCAGGTAACAAAGGAACATTTAATCAGCATTGTATCATCGTTAGGTTTGAACTATCCAAGCGTAGTGGGGGCAATGCATATAACATTAACTCAATAGTTAAATGTCTCTTGTTGCAATACGCAGATGAAAGTTCAAGTTCAACACTGGCTGAAGGTTGTCAACTTTTAATGTCACTTATTGGAATGCTCACTCCCCGCCCCTGTAGCACGCAAATATTGGCTCAACCCTTACGAAAATGTCTTATAGGATTCCTATATATTCCTTTAGGAATATATAGGAATCCTATAGGAATCCTATAGGAACCTAAAGGAATCCTATAGNTCCTGGGCGAAGTGCTCACAACCAACCATGATAGTATGAGGCATTGTCGGCAACGGAAGTTGTTGCTATGGTAACTGCTGGCAATAATCATATGTCATACGTTATCGCGTTACCAGTCCCGTCGCCTTGCCTCCTTGTAGCAATCACTAAACTTCAACAGTTCCTTCTTTGTGAACCCCATCTTCCAGATAGAATCATTGAGTCCCGTGAAGAATAATGCCCTTATTCCTTTTGAAAACCACGAGCGAAAATGAGTGGTCTCTATCCAAATGGAGTTTCAGTAAAGAGACGTGGTCGCAGGTTCTGTCTTATATTTCCTTAGGTCTTGAAAAGAATACTACTTCTCTCTACCGAAGAAAGTATATGTGCAATCCAGCGACATATGTTTGGGCGGGGTCATAAATTATGCAGACCCCCGCAGTACTGGTATTAATAATGCATGTCCCCCCTACCATGGAGAAACTCCTAATCGGTTTTTGATTTACACCGAAAAGCAGTGCCATTATTAACCACGGTCGCCTTTTCCGTCGTAATGCCTGGATTTCGAAACCCAAAATATCTTCCCCAAGTCCTATAGGTCAGGAGACCTATAAGACCCTATAGGGATCCTATAGGATTGTAAAGGATCCTATAGGTTTTTCGTGTTTCAAAAACCTATAGGAAGGTCTACACTTTTCCTATAGGACATTTTCGTAAGGGTTAGCATGACTATCAACGAGTGCCACAGTGCAAACATTCAAACGAATTGGATTGTACATTCCTGTACCTGTATTTTTCCATGGAAAGTTGTATATAGCTTTTCCAAGAGTGCGGCGCTTGCAGAATGTCAGGGTAATGATAGAGTCTGATCCCCGATGGTTGATACCCAGGCAAGGATGGCACCCACACAGTGAATGTCGTCTTCGAGATGTTTTCTTTTGAAAAGGCAGTACAATTTTTTATAAGTCAATTCGAAAATTTACAGAAGTTTTTTGTGTTTTTCAATAAAAATCACTGTTCAAAATTTTAATAACTTTGTTACTGCTCTATGGTGGAGTTCATCTTTTTGGTGGAGTTCATAATATTTTTTTAGATCATATACCAAAAGGATATTAAATATTTATGGTAAAATCTGGAAATCTCTGCATTGTAATTTCTGGTAATTTGCACGGGGTTCCGCTAGTTCGTGATAATAGGAAACAGACTGCTAATCGCGTCGAAGGGCTTTCCACTATGAGAGCTACATACGTACTCCGTGCCATTACCTTCCCGTATCAAAATTATTGTTTCATACACGCAAGTATTACAGATTAAATACCTTAACACCGTGTGACCGACTCCGGAACGAACCCGTGCAGCGACTCAATCAATAGTTCAATAGCGACTGGATGATCAGAACGACAAGAATTGAAATGACGGGAAATGGCAGTAGCAGAAGCAGTAAGCTTCGACGGGAGAAGGAGTCAAAGGGCGGGGGTGGGTCCGCCCCATTGGCAGATGAAACTAGTGAAGTTTGGGGATTGTTGTGAAGAGTCCTGAATCGAGGCATCTCAAGGACACCTGATGGACTCAGGTGTCCTTGAGATGCCTTGCTGGGGCCTCGCTTACGTCCACTTCTCACCGTGCCTAAAAATACAGACTGAACCCGTTCTTAGCCAGGGCACGAGAGCATAAACAGAGGGTGTGTATCCCCTGCCATCGTATTCAGTTCTCGCGCTAACACGTTAGAGGGGCAGAACGATTTTCCTTATCTCATCCCCGAGTATTTCTTTCCCCCTTGTTTGACCCGGAAGTTGCCATGGGGAGTTGCAAGCCACCAGTTGCTACGAACCTCGCACGTGAGTCTTCTCTCATTTTCACTTTATAAATCGGAGGCGAAGAAAGAGGAAGCAGATGAATGAGGCTGCGATTCAATTCCATGGATTCGGTAAATCCTTGGTGTAGGTAAATACTCTCAGATGAAACCCGATTTGGCTGATTTCATTAATTATCATTCGTGACCGGTAATTAATTTACCACTTTAGCTCTTTTCCATATTACCAGTTTCGAGCCAATCGTTGCGTTTGTATATTATTAAATGTGAAACGATCTCTCATTCCCTTGCTGAACATCCAAAGAGCTTCTTTGAGAGTGAACTGAGCATCCCTCGCTTTGCGAGACCGTCCAGCGCATGACTCAACGAAAAAAGTGAGAGATGTGAGGAATAAAACACTCTCAGCGCTTTCCTTCACTTAAACGACGCTACAGTGTTCCGCTCGATACAGGCGAATTCGAAGAAACCGACTTTCAATGAGTGGACATCGCCGCTGTTTTTTCATCACATGATTCCGCTGAGGTTATTTTGTCTAATCCGTATATGCCGATGGTGGAAAGTGCAGTTGCATCAGACTGGTGATTTACTAGAAATGCGAGGTAGAAAAAATGAATGGGAAGGGCTTCATTGTACTCACTGTAAGTCCGGCTCTAATCATATCAACTCAAGTATAAACTCAATCTTCAAGCAAGTTGCGTCATCTTAAGCAAACCCTTCTACTCAAAATTTAAAAGACGTTCAATTGGATCACAAATGCAACTGCAAAGAACCTTGAGTTGAATTGTCCGTTGATGTGAATTCAGAAACGACATTTATGCCATTTCCACGATCGTCTTGTAAGTCGATCGGCCATTGTTGATAAAATGTCCTCTTTGATCGCTTCCCACCTTCTTCCATCATCGTTTTGTTGAAATTAGTATAGTTTCAACAACATTGCTACTCAGTAAATTATAATGATAGAAAAAGCAAGAATAGAAATGGAAAACGCTGCAGCGATCAAAGCACACCACGACTTTCAAGCAATTCTTCCGTAAAAATCGTTAGGTGACGCGTTTCCACGTATAAATAAAGGGCAATAGAGCCGTATCGGCAGTCGACGTTCCCATCAAAAACATTTATCTCTCGAGGTTTACTCTGACTCGAGTGTGGAAGGCTGGGAGGAGCGGAACATCAACAAGGCATTCCTGCCTTTCACGCCCGAATCTTCAACCTAAATAATTTGTTTCCTTCGATATTTTGTTTTGTCTCGAAAAAGCCGAGGAACAAGGAAATCCAGTCGACGAATCGAAATCAGAGGAGAACGAAGAGGGTCGGCAGGGCCTCGAGTATTTCAACACGGTCGACCAGTTACGGATCAAAGAACATGCGGACGTGGACAAAGGTAGGCGGTTTTCTCTTCCGATGCGACTGCTGCTGTGGATGAAGGAAAGGACATATTTTCCTTTTAGTTCTGAGCCGTAGCGAGTCGGAGAGAAGGTACTCGGTGAAGGACGGCTCGGGACAGACCGTCTACAACGCGATCGAGGATTTAAATTGCAGCGCGGGTTCCAGCGGTGGGAACTGTCAGGGCTTTGCCATGAGGATCCTTGACGGTCGGGACGCCGAGGTGATGCGCATATTTCGGCCCCTCGTGTCGGGGGCCGATCGCCTTCAGGTCAATCATTTCACCCCCTTTTCCTCTTCCAAATCATCCCGAGGCAATGCAAAACGAGAATACTTTGGAAGGATTTGGAAAACAAAAGATAGAATTCAGAAGTTCGACTCGTGCATTCAAAGCATCAGCGGTGAAATTTTTTGTCGATGAATTCAGAACAGAAGCTTCCAAAGTTGCATGGGAAAATGTAGGTACTACAGAACAAAAAATACATTCAGGGTGGTCATCGACAGCATTAACCAACTTCCTTGTACCCTGCAGAGATTGGAAGTGTTTGCCCCGCCGGATCAGCTGATCGGGAAAGTGGAGCAAGAGCAGAGCCTCCTGGTACCGAAGTTCCAAATAATGGATTCGGAAGGCAAAAGAGTGGCACGCATCAAGGGTCCCATCTCTACTTTAAGTATCTTTGGGAGCGTGAAATTCCAGGTCTTAATCATTTTATAATCTCAATAACCTCATCTTAATAATTTTATCTGAGGTGTTGAACTTTCAATATAGTCATACACATCGATGCGAGAAAGGTGGAAGTACGCATGTCTTTTCTTGGTGGTTTCAGGCGAAGAGCGAAGGCGGGAAGGCGATCGGGGCGATCAAGAAAGAATGGTCAGGTCTCTTCAAGGAGGTCCTTACTGATGCGGATCACTACGGCCTCACTTTCTCCCCAGAACTGGATGTTAACGTGAAGGCACTCGTCTTCGCTGCCGCCTTCCTCATCGTAATTTTGCTTTCATACTTCCTTGCACCTCATCACCACCATTCCGGTTTCCCGGGATGAACTTAATATTTTTTTCATTCTCAGGACTTCATGTTCTTCAGTAAACGGGCCATCTAATCCCAAGGATGACTCGATAGACGCAATAGAGTGACCATCACACTGACCTCCGCTCATCAACAGTTTGCTTCTTCAAATCATCAGGAACTTATCATGAGATGTTCTCTACATCGAATAACTAAGCCTCATCCAGCAAACTCAGAGTCAAAATGAACTTGACGCATGGAGCGAAAACGAGTGGAAATCAAGATAAATTTTAAAAGTTGTGTTCCAGCAGCACACGATGGATTTCTAGTCCACAGGATTGTGAATTGTGAGTATAATTTGAAAATTTCGAAACAATTATGTTTGCCAGAGAATTATTGCACAGTACACTTCGTAAAATATGTATTCTAATGCAATTGCCGCAATTATCTTGTATATGCATGCTAAAGATAATATACCTAATTCATATGTGAAATCCTTTCTTCCTCTCCCCATTTGCATTGATGTGTAGCTCCCCTCAACACACATCTTGCATCGTGGAAACTATGCAATTGACTGGAAATAAATACAGGCTTTAATCGTTGTCAATGTGGGAGGAAATCCGTCAAGCAATATACATTTACTACACGTTCCAACGATGAAGGACAGGTCCATTAAGATGCAGGTTCAGTTTTTTTTCCCTGTCACTCTCAATCTATGCAGATGCGCCTTCGATAGTAAATTAGAGAAGTATCAGAACTTTTGAATATTCACGGGAGAGAATGCGTGCTAACAATCCCTAACAATACCCCAGAGTATGCCTCAGAGATTCTGATGATATTAGATGAAAAAAGACCTCGAGATGTAGTCAAACGCTAGGTACACATTTTTAATTTGCTTCACAATTGTATTTCAGAGATCCCGCGCAAAAACGTAGAGCACCCCATATGCAATGGCCATTACTACGACCCATATATTACAATTTACATTTTCAAACGTTTCGTCGATTGGTCGATTGCCAATAAACAGAGTTTCGCGATTTTCGCAATGTGTACCACCCTGATATATCTATTTTTAATGCAACTTCTCTGCCATGGGGGTAAATATCGCATTGTTTCAAATGCACAACTGTTTGCATGTCTGCGAAGACTGGCTCAATGGAGACAAGACTGCCTCCACAACTTTTTCCTTTATGCCAGTTCCAGTGGGAATCTTGCATTGGTTCGTGAGGATTCATGAGGATGAATCGAACAAACTTATTGTTTATTTCAATTTATTGTCTCTTTCAATTTTGAAAATGAATTTTTTTTTCAGCATGGACATTTGGCCACCCTGGAAAAAAATGGGCATTTTTGATGAGTTGAGATCAATTGAAAATGTTTGAGCCGATCAAAAAATTCGGAGTGCCCTCAAACCTTTTATGGAAGTTGTTTTCACCAGGAGTTAATTTCATTCGCTATTTAGATGGACGTGGCAACCGTGATGAAAGTCAATGAAATCGGCAGATAAGTCGCGATAAAGACGGAAACAGATCCAGTGGATTCACCGCAACAGGGTACACCCACCACAACAGGGCAGACCCAGTCCAACAGGGTGGCTGTTGAGTGCAGACTCCTGTATATCCAGAAATCCATAAATGTTTGGCTAGGCCACGTGCTAGAGGCTTCGTGTGGGAGATTTTTTTTGGAAGGTCTCGAGACATGGTTGTCGTCATGATTGTATTTTCTCCTTGGATTGCGTCAGTCAGATCCAAGTAATCCTATTTATATGGAACAGCGTTGCTGCCCCTATAATATTTCTCTTCCCGGGTTGCGAGGAGACAGTATAATCAGAGAGCATATATAAGACAGTATAATCAGAGAGCATTCGCTAATCCCATCGGAGTCAGCGCCAGAGTTGCCAGATTCTCCAAGCGAAACACGCCAACTTTAATCAATAATCATCATCTGCGTATCAGCTTATCCCCATGCATATGTTTTCCCCAAGGATTGAAGTTCCATTCAAGGGCGGATGCAGCCAGTAAGACTGACGGAAGGGGTGTGGGATGTATGAGGGGGGGGGGGGGGAGTGTGGAGTTGAAATGGGAAGGCCGAGAATCCTCGGTCTGCGTGAATCGATCGCCTCCCCTGACTCCCACCCACCTGCATCTTCCGCTGCTTTCAAAATGCGTCACAAAAGGCTACTGAATCGGGAATGTAAATCTCCATCGACTTCCGAAATTTGGGAATACATCAGAAACAGCCAAAGCCGCGTCCCCTTGACCTTCCCGCAAATTGACAAATCCGGAAATCTGGCAACCCTGACCAGCCATCCCACGAGAATCGAAACCGCTAGCCACCGGGAATCTCCTCGCTCCCTCCCTCGTTCGACTAGGGGACAGGAGCCGGCATGGAGAGTCCCGCACCACCTGCTTTTAGCTTCACACGTGAGTCTCCTATCACTTTTATCGTCATATTTCGGGGGGGGGGGGGGGGATCCTGGAATGACGGAGACCTTGTGAAACATCTTGTATCACGTCAGAGTGATTCTGTTCCGTGAAGAAATTAACCGAAGACGATAACGATCTTCGCTCTTACAGAAATCCTTTCGTTTGAATGTTCTGATCTCATCATTTACATTCATACCGCGAAGGCTGAGCCTCATGTTTTCAAATCGAATCAGGATCAGCCGATCCCCCAATTTTTGCCCTCTCTCGTGTCCCTCCGAGGAAATTTCATAAGAATACAAGTACTCCAGTATTTCTCATGTAAGGAAAATACAGGAGGAAATATTTCCGTGCCGAAAAATTCCATCCAATAATTTTGTTGAAAGCATGGGCTCAGCGGAACAGCCGACACGAGTCGCATTGAAGCGAAAGCATCGGGGAACTACCAGCCCTTCCCTGGAGAACGTCGACTAAATTCCCAACGAAATGGATTCACGTTCTCCCGATAATGAAGCTCACCCAGAGCTAACTGTACAAACACACGCAACCGGTCTGAGCCCTTCCCCGACAGGAAAGTTGGATGTCTGGAGGAGGACGGATTGGACGAAGGATCGAGGAGGACGAATTGGACGAAGGATCGAGGAGCTGGATGTCAACTTTCGCCTCTTTCATTAATGCTTTATTTCCATCGGGTTTCTTTTGATAGCGCCGGAAGGAGAAAATCCAGACGGGGTGGAAGATTTCACTACGATATCACTCCTCGGCGAGGCATGTCCGCCGGGTCTGGAATATCTCAACGCTATCGACCAGCTGCTCATTCACCAACGGGTGGAGCTGTTTGAAGGTGAATGATCGCTCGCGATGATTACTCGCGATGATTACTCGTGATGATTACTCGCGATGATTACTCGTGATCTTGCGTGGGGCTCGGGCCGATTTTCTAGCCGAGTTCGTTTCCTCCTTGCAGTCTTCTCCGGTTGCGATGTGAAAAATAAGTACTGGGTGAGGAACAGCATGGGCCAGCCGGTCTACACGGCCGTCGAGGACTCGGATTGCTGCGAGAGATTCTGCTGCGGTAGCATGCGGTCTTACGGCATGACGATCCTTGACAATTACGAGAACGAAGTCTTGCGTCTCCATCGACCACTCAGATGCGTCTCCTGTTGCTTCCCATGCTGCCTCCAGGTAAGCGGTCCCCCCCTACCCCTTCACAAAGCTCTTTCCATCAGCCATATTATAGAGAATCTTTGTCGTCACCTCGTAGAGATTGGAAGTGTTTGCCGCATCGGGTCAGCTGATCGGGAAAGTGGAGGAAGAGTGGAGCATCCTCTTTCCCAAATTCCGTCTCACGGACCCGGCGGGCCAGAAACTGGCTCGCATCGCCGGCCCCTTCTGCACCTGGAGCATCTGCGGGGACGTCAATTTCAAGGCACTTTTTTCCTCCTTCATTCCACGAATCTGAAGCGTCAAGCGCTCAACTAAATGAAGCGATTTCTTTAAACTGCAGTCGGCCGACCTTTTGAAAGCGACGAGTTTTCGAGTCATTAGTATTAATTTCTTGAAATTGAGATTACGCCCACTTAAGGCCCATTAAAAGGCGACAAGTCTTTTCAGGAGAGTATTTCAAGCCTTGGAACCACGAAATGATGGCTCATTGAATTTCAGTCCGGCCGAGACTTCTCAGACGTGCCCTCGGGCACTTGCATTTCTGATACTATTACTTCCTACGCCTGTATAATTTATTATCCAGGCCCACATTTGTCGCTGGAATGCGCAGGATAGCGCGTCCTTCAGTAAAGAAAGGTATCATTCTTCTTTTGGCCGAGGGAAATGGCAGACAGGATTCCCATATGTTCCTATAGGAACGATAGGAATCCTTTAGAAATATATAGGATTCTTATATATTCCTAAAGGAATATATAGGAATCCTATAAGGCATTTTCGTAAGGGCGTAGACTTGCTTTCGGCTCGGGTACTGCTTCCTGTATCCTTCCAATAGCTTTAGCGTGTGTTCGACCTCTGTCGTGTGCGTCTACATGTTCGTTGTTGGTGCCTGAGATTGTTTCACAGCTGGTAATATTCCCTATATTACAGAGGGCCGGATTGCACTGGTTGGCCTGATAGGCAATCTATATCATGTTATTGTCCGAAGTCCGTGGTCTGCCTTGAGCTAACATTAAAGATGATTTGAGACAACCGATCCGATCTCGCGAGTTTTCATGAACTCACCCCTGCCCCTAAAGCCTACAGTACGGCTATAACTAATCAGTGTTGGACAGCATCTGGTTTGCGTGGACGGCCCGAGCCAGCGATAAGACGTTCCGGATTCGGTACTCTGGGTGGGTCGGCGGGCAGGAATAAGCCGTCAAAACCGTCACGATATCCTTGGAGGGAATGTGATATGGGTTTATCGGTACGACCTGCCGAGAATTGCAGACCACAGTTATTGAATCGTCGAATTTCTCGAGTTTATGCTATGATATTCTCCAGGAGATCGGCAAAACTTATCGAGTGCCCTCGTGGTTTGAAAAATAATGCGGGCGATCGGCAGAAAGCATTCAGGACACTGGAAAGAACATTTGATAAATATTAAGTGTGCCACCGAAATCCATGCGTTGCTAAGGCTTTCCGAGTTTGGCCCTCAAAGGCTCGTCTCTTTCGTGCTTGCTTCTGTCTTGATACAGCTGGCGATGATAATGATCATGTCCGTGTACTTTTTCATTTGGCGGGGGGGCATCGCAGGTGAAGGACACGGACGGGAATACGATCGGGAGGATCGCCAAACAATGGTCAGGTCTCCTCAAGGAGCTCTTCACCGTCGCGGATAACTTCAGCGTCGCTTTCTCCCCGCAACTGGACGTGACCGTGAAGGCACTCATCTTCGCTGCCACCTTCCTCATTGTGATCATGCTTTCGTCTCTTCCACTTCCTCTCTCCTTTTGGGTTGCTGTTGCTTTATTGAAACGACGGGTTTTCTCTTCCTTCTTCTCTGCCAGGACTTCATCTACTTCGAGAAACCGCCCGAGTGGACTAACTGGATTCGATGACAATTCTCAGAGGAAACGATGGAAGTCATCGCTCTGTTCTCCCCTCATCTTTTTTTGTATTAATAAGTAACGCATACATTATATGATATATATTATGCACTGGTGCGAAAGCCCGTCCGCGCATGGGCTGAAATAAGTCGAATGAGAACATTTCGTGGATGCCTTTCTGCTCTTTCTTCTTCAGTTGGACTGTTCCTGGAAGCAGCCTGCGAAGCAGCGTTGTGAACGTTTTCATGCACGCATATCCAATGATTGTGACTCCAGAACTTCTCTCTTTCTCGCACGTTCAGTAGATCCCGCCGTGGAATAGTTTAAACTTCCCCACTTTTTGGGCATCATGAGAACGCCAACATTTTAAAAATAAAAGAATAATATTGGAGCACCACCTCAATGCTGGAAACTCACATGAAGCACTTTCTTGAACAGGCGACGGGACTGGTAACGCGATAAAGTATGACATATGATTATTGCCAGCAGTTACCATAGCAACAACTTCCGTTGCCGACAATGCCTCATACTATCATGGTTGGTTGTGAGCACTTCGCCCAGGAAAGGCGACGGGACTGGTAACGCGATAACGTATGACATATGATTATTGCCAGCAGTTACCATAGCAACAACTTCCGTTGCCGACAATGCCTCATACTATCATGGTTGGTTGTGAGCACTTCGCCCAGGAAGGCATTCAGTAAGATGCTATTCTTATTGCGGAAATTAGTTCTCATGATGAACTTTTTGGGCTCTCGACCCAATAGTTATCGTCAAAAGGTTTCGAATCATACATATACAGGGTGTCCTATGAGTCTGGATCCATAGGGCAAAATGATAACGATTTGCATTCACAGAATGAGTTCAATGTGTCCACCACTTTGATTGATACACAAATGCAGACGAGTAATAACACTTCGAATGGTGTCAGGAGTGATGGTGTTAAATGCGTCGATGATGCGCATATATGCATATATGCAACACTTATTTTACCCTATGGCTCCAGACTCATGGGACACCCTGTAGTTTAAAACTGAGGCACACAAAACGAATTTGGAACTCTTGGTAATGAGATGGAGGGCGGGAGGACGGTTCCCGTCTGAAGAGACTCCCCAAAGTTGTGTACCCACAAGGGGACACAACTTAAAAATTGCAACAAAAAAATTGATTTCGATTAATTATGAGGGGATGCGTTTCGTCTTCAGGGAAACCCCAATCGCCTGCTTGCAAGTTCAGCAAGTTTCGCTTCTCTTAACGTTAAAGTGTGATCCGTTGTTTTCTTCTAAGAACACCACAGTAGAATAGGGGACGATTTTGAGCTTGGCAGGGATGGGGATCGGCTCGATAGGACCGATCTGACTTGTGCATCGGGCATGAAGATCATTTGACTATCTAGTTTCCGGTCAGATACTAGAGAATGCGTCATTTGAGACNGACGCGTTTTCCACTGACTCTCTGGAAAACAAGAAAACCCGCAGAAACCACGTTCGCAGAGTACTTTTCGGATTTTTGACCCAATAAGTATTGTCTCCAAATCTTAAGTTTTAGATTGACACCTCAAGTACTAAAATTCGTTCATTCGTTTTGGAGGAGTTTCCCTGAAAGACAGAATGATAGATTGGCCTCTTATGCATATGGAAGAAGATGAATAGTGGCGCAAGGGGAGTTGGGAGAGAACAAATGGAAAAGCAAAGTAAACCATAAGAAAATCTTCAAATATATGTAGCTGTGAAAAGACAAAAGAAAGCATAATGAGTATTGAAACAATATTGGAACAAACTCTATTGGAACAATTTCATATCCACGTCCCGTGGTTGCTGCGTTAGCCTTATCGTATTTCTGATGTTTTTCGGAGACGGTACCCTTACGAAAATGTTTATAGGATTCCTATATATTCCTTTAGGAATATATAGGAATCCTTTAGGAATATATAGGAATCCTATAGGAACTTAAAGGAATCCTATAGGAACCTAAAGGAATCCTATAGGAACCTAAAGGAATCCTATAGGATCCTATATGCCCCATAGAGTTCAGTTTGGGACCTACAGAGTTCCCTATAGAACCTATAGAGCCCCCTATAGAACCGAAAGGGTTCCCTATAGAACCAATAGGGATCCCCATAAGGCCAATAGGTTCCCTATAGGACCTGTAGAGTTCGCTATAGAATCTATAGGACCTATAGGGTTCCCTATAGGGCCAATACGGAACCCTGTAGGCCTCTAGGGTTCCGTTTGAAGTTCTCCTCTAGGCCACTAGATTGGGTATTGGGTTCAGACATTTCTCAAAGAGCACAAAAGGGCCCTTCCCTTACCCAAGGAATCATCTCTCACAATTGAGTTATGTATAATACTTCGCCAAATGTCTCGCCTTCCCTCATTGTAGCAATCAATGGACTTCGACAATTCCTTATTTGTCATCCCCATCTTCCAGATATAATGATGGAGTCCCGTGAAGAAATATGCCCTTATTCCTTTTGAAAACCACGTACGAAACTGAGTAGAATCTATACAAATGGAGTTTTAGTAAAGAGACGTGCTCGCTGGTTTGTCTTCTACAGGGTGATTCTTTCGTTTTAGTACCCTGCCTGAGTTATTCACGTTTTTTAGGGTACTAGCACGAAAGAATCACCCTGTATTTCCTTTGGTCGAGAGAAGAATACTATATTTCCCAACCGAAGGAAGTAGACGTGCAATCCAGCGACATATGTGGGGCGGGGCTGCAAGTTATGCAGACCCCCGTAGTACTGGTAATAATGAATGTGTCCCTACCATGGAAAAACTCGTAATCGGTTTTTTATTTAGACCGAAATGCTGCGCCTATATTAACCCCTGTCGCCTTTCCGTCGTAATGCCTGGGTTTCGAAACCCAAAATATCCTCCCCGATCCAGACTCATGGGACACCCTGTAGTTTAAAACTGAGGCACACAAAACGAATTTGGAACTCTTGGTAATGAGATGGAGGGCGGGAGGACGGTTCCCGTCTGAAGAGACTCCCCAAAGTTGTGTACCCACAAGGGGACACAACTTAAAAATTGCAACAAAAAAATTGATTTCGATTAATTATGAGGGGATGCGTTTCGTCTTCAGGGAAACCCCAATCGCCTGCTTGCAAGTTCAGCAAGTTTCGCTTCTCTTAACGTTAAAGTGTGATCCGTTGTTTTCTTCTAAGAACACCACAGTAGAATAGGGGACGATTTTGAGCTTGGCAGGGATGGGGATCGGCTCGATAGGACCGATCTGACTTGTGCATCGGGCATGAAGATCATTTGACTATCTAGTTTCCGGTCAGATACTAGAGAATGCGTCATTTGAGACCGCGAGTTCTGAAGCTCAAAGGACAAAGCAGGCTTTGGACCGGTTCGTTCGGCAGTCGAGTCCCAGGTCGAGTGCAGGTCATGACGTGGGAGCACTGCTCTGGAAAGCGTTCGGTGTTGTGCTATTGTTATTGGTCGAAAAGTGGCTTTATTACGTGAACATTGGACGAATTTTTGGACTTTTAATAAAGGAAGCATCGCCTCAGTGCAAACGCCTACGATTGACATCATGAAAATCATTTCTCCTGCTAAGAGGAGTTTCCCTGAAATGACTCCCTGATACACAGTATCAGGGATACTATGTAGGATAATCTGTGGATGAGATATAGCCGGGCACCAATTTCGCTAAACCCATACCTAAAAAAGAGGTTTTCCCGGCGTACAGGGAAAGTGAGTTTCGGACGTCCCGATAAAACTTTCTTCATGGTTTCCCATACCAAATGCACGCTTCACCACCCTGTCTGCTTGCACTGAATGTCCTTCATTCTGAACCGTTCCAATCGAAAATGCGTTCATGCGCAGATATGCGGGGGTCCCTTCGCCTCCCCTTGGGGCAAATACGTCATCAGAGACCTGGAGTTCTCAAACTTAGAGGCCTAAGCGGGCTGCGGGCCGGTCATATCAGCACAACACGGTCGGAGTAGTAAAGCGCGGTCGACGATCGCATTTTGGGTCGGGTGCAGGCCACGATTCCAATCGGGCCGATCGAACTTCAACTCGGAAAAGTCAACCCGTGCAAGCCTCTGACGCGAAGAAAGAAATCGTCGAAACCACGTTCACAGCGTACCTTTCGCCCTTTTGGCTCACTAGGTATCGCCTCCAGGTCCTAAGCTTTCGATTGAGACCTCAATTATTAAAATTCGTTCAATCTTTTGGTAGGACCTTCCCGGAATGACTGAATGACAGATTAGCCTCTTAAGTATATGGATGAATGGTGGCAGAAGGGGGGGGGGGGCAGAACAAAAACGGAAAAGCAACGTGAAAACTTGAAAGTCAAAGAAGATATGAATTCAGGGAGTACTAACTGCATGCATAGACGTGAACCATACTGAGAAGATTCAAATATTTGTAGCTTAGAAAAATCTGAGGAAAAGTCTGATGCGTTACAATCAATCGAAACTTCATCATCGCCCCGTGTCGTTGTTGCTACGTTGGCCTTTTCATTCCTCCGATATTTCATGGAGAGGTATGACATGCACAATGAGCATCCTTTGTCGATGAAAATCTTAACTTCACATGCGGCATGGGGACAAAATAACTAAGTATTTTCCTGATGTGGCAAATGCCCAGCGCTCAAAGGTTGACGAGTAAACGCTGTTTATGTTTAAGCATTGTTGAATTGTTCAGCAAAAGACATGTAATGCAATCACATATCCTACTATGCAGGGTGAGCTGTTCATTACCTTGTAACATTTCCTTCGGACGCCAGTATATGAACAAAATACGTCCTACCTTTCAGCCCCATGTTCGTTATTCATTAAGAAAGACGTGTACCTTGGTATAGTAATAAAAGACGGAAGTCCTCATGGAATCGGGTCCAAACATCACGAATAATTTATAATAGAAATCGATCATTTCTCCTCATAGATACGCGCGACAGCGTTGGCAGATGGGACATCTGCCCATTAGGAGAAACAAATGTCATCATACGAGTCTCAATGGAGTACTTCGGCGTCCCCTATTGCTTCACGCCATGAT